GCTTCTCTATTTTGGAGATGTCTGCATCAACACTGGCAGTTAAGAACAGGTAGCATACGATCACAGTGACTGACCCCATGCTGTTCAAGAAGTCATGAAGGACGGAGGGGGGGGAAGCAAAAACCAACAGTTGAAGATCAGAAAACAAAGCAGGAAGCAGAGAGAACAATCTCAGACCTTTATTCCAATGTCACCTGTCACACCTGCAAAAGAGAATGCCATATGCCATGCAAAGATTGAACTGTTATGCCACTCCAGATGCTGCTCACAGGACTGAATGTTTAACTAAACAGGGTGTTATCATTATCTTACAAGATAAATGGATGACTACTAAATATTTGAAAATATATACACATTTTGAGAAATAATTCTATAACTATGAAATCAGAATGAAAGCATTAAATTATATGACAACTCTTCCTGTGAAAATAGAAAAAGGCACTAAGTTCATCTAAGTGTTATGTCTCTTCACAACATGGGAAATCATGGCTCTCTACAACTTCCTGTCATTTGTAGCCTTTAGTAAAGTTGTTTTCTTGTTTTCTATATCTCCTAATCCCTGTTCTGCCAACAATTTACACACAATCATTAAATAAGTTACATGTCAAATTTTCCAAGCCCTCTTTTCTCATTGTGTGCCCTAAAAACTTCAACTATCTTTTTTCTGATTCTATGTTTAAGTGTCCTTTTTGTTTCCATTTCTCTAAAACTTTGTCGTTGCTCACATGTTCAGTTTATGGTATTCTTAGCATCCTTCTGCAGAACCACATTTCTGTTGCCTTCAAGTCTCTCTGCTATTACTGATGAAATTGTCCAGCATACACTGCTATAAAGGAGAGCCAATATTACATGACAGCTCAGTACTCTTTTCTTACAGACTGATAAAGTATATATATTGTATATTTTTGGAGACACACTTTATGTTTATATGTGTGAATATATGAATATCAATACATTCGCATACACATTTATATATATATATATATATATATATATATAGTTGTATGCAAAAGAGTTTAACAACTATTTTCCTTATTGTTCATGTGTATCTAACATACATACATGCATACAATCACAGTTTTGTGTGCATATATATCAGCAATCAGTGTGAGCAATGAACAATACTAATGCAAAAAGAAATCTATGTTTCATAAATTACAAAAAAATGTTTTTGTTAAAGTACACATAAAGTACAACATGAAAACCTATTTGAACAGCAAGGCAAGCTCAACATATATGAGAAAGCTCTTAGGATAACCTATAACATTTACTGGGAAGAAACCACCTGCATACAGAGAAAGAACAAATTAAGCAAGTAGGCAAAAATAGAACTAAGAACTAATCTATACAGGAAGACAAATCCTAACAGAATGAGAAGACCTACCAGGACTTAATATTGGCAATCATCATCTTAACATAAGATACACTGATAATACTGTGCTGATGGTGAACTCTCAAAGAAGACTACAAAACTCCTTAAAGTATCAAAGGAAAGGGAGATAAAAGGTCTAATCATTAATTATAAGATAAAACATGTGGCTGTTAACAAAAGAGACAGTCAAAAAATGAGCTTCAAATTGGAAATATCAGAAACATGCAAACAGAGAAATTTAATTCTATGGGTAGTGTAGTAACAGACAGCATAAAGTTTGACACAGATATAGAAAGGTGCACCAGAATAGCAAAAGAGGTCTTCTTGAAACTAAGCAAAGTATTAAAACAGGAATATTTTGTTAGAAACAGAGAAAAGAATGCTGAACTATGTCATATCTATCCTTCTGAATATAAGTGATTGCTAGGCAATTTCCTTATAGATGAGGCTCAAAGTGACTGAAGTGTGATTCTATAGACAGTTCCTGAAGAGAACATGTGAGAAATAAGAAAATTCTAAAGAAAATGTGAACTAGAAAGATACCCATGCTTAAAATCAGGAGAGACAGCATTCTTTTTCTATGTGCCACATCCCTTTAGGATATTATGGCAATTATGACACTTCAAAAATTCCTATCCCTTGTGGACCTTAGCCAGTTTTCTACAGCTCTCACCCAGTTATGCCATCCATTCACACAAGCATATTAGGTAGGTAACTTGCTACCTTCCTCTTTCTCACTTGCAATCATTATGCCCTGTGAGGGTTAAGTTTTTTTATCCCTTATTCCTTATTATGTAATCAAGGAATTTCAGCTATCTCATCCCAATTCTGAGCATAAATATTCTTTTTCTTGCCATTTTCTTTTAAGACCTCCTCATTGCTTACTCACTCATTCACTCCATCCATCTGTGGGGAGATCGCCATCCTCTTATATGCTTGTGAATGGTGGACAACATATAGAAACAAAGAAAAGAGTGCTGGATTCAGTGACATGCTAATGTTTTATGATGCCCAGAGCCAACTCCTTGATTCTATGCCCCTAAGAATCAACAGAGGGAGGGGGTAGGGGGGTTCTGTAAGGCCTAGTACTGAAAAATAAAGGAAAGGAAGACATTTTAAATATGTAAAAACAGATGAAACACAAAAAAATGAATACTTTTATTAAAATTAAATATAAAATAAATTTTTATTTCACTCTTTGATTGGATGCCTTCCCATTATAGATGCCCAGGGTTATCACACTCTCTTCCCCTCACCCACCTCTGCTCAGTCAGTCAGTCAGTTATGTGCCATGCGTGATACACACTCAGGCAATCATGTATCTTTCGATACATGACTGATGAGGCAGATTTTTCCCGTAGTAGATTGCCATTTCTTTCTGCAGTAGACCAGTTGCCATCCAAGGCTATAGAACCCGGTCTGTCCTGTTATTCATCCATAGCTGGAGGGAGAAGAATAGGATTCATACCTTTCCCAAGGGTATTAGCAAGTAAGTTAATGTAATGGATTCGACTGGAATTTGAACTCGGCTCTCCAATTCCTCAATTCGAGCCACCATCCATTACTCCACCATGCCTCACTGACTGATTTACTAACAAAAGTTTTCTATTCTTCAGCACTTTGCTTAACTTTTAGAATGCCTCTTTTGTTCATCCAATACATGTTCACATTTTGTTGTCACATTTTCTATTCTCTGCTAAAACAATTCCCAGATATTCAAACTTGTGTACTTGCTTGATGTTGGCATCTCTGATTTGTAACTCACATCTTGGGGTTTTCCTCTTACTGATGTCCATGTCAGTCATCAACACAGTGTCATCTTATATTGTTAAAAGTGCACCCACCAATAATAAATCCTGGCTGGGTCTCTAGCTCCCTTAGTAGTGTAGAAGTTGAATAAATCTGGAGAGAAGACTCATCCTTGTCCCATGACCCTTTCTATTTTTGTATATCTACTCAATTCATTTTCTGTCTGTATGCATGCGGTTTGCTCACAGTATAAATTCTGGATTATTCTAACATCCTTCATAAATAGGTCGAGTTTTCCTAGCAGTTCAAATAGATCCTTGTGCCATACCTCGTCAAATGCTTTTGTGTAATCTATAAAATGTAAGTACACATCCTTCTGCATTTGTATTGCTCTCTCCGATATGATTCAGACATCATTAATCCAGTTATAAATACTTTTTACAAGATATGTAAGTTAAAATTGATAAATTTGTGTGAATACATACCTAGCACATACAGTAGATTTTCTTCCAGTTGTGTGTGTAATATCAAAACCCCAATATTTATTATGAGCTAAATTTATTATAATTTTTTTTCCTTCTAATTAAATTACACTATCAAGTTTCACACATAGAGAAATTATTCTTCTCATTTGTATTTCTCATCTGTTCCTCCCCTCGGGGCTGAAAAGTGTAGCTGAAATAATAAAATTACTTATCAATGTTTGTTTTTGGATACAACTTCACAATTTCTTTATGTAAGTTTTATTTTTTGAAATTCTGTCTGTACTTATATCCAGTGGTGTTGAAGATAAAACAAATCCTTATACATTACTGTTTTGTTTAATCTTCATTTATGGTTTAACGATACATTTTAAATTGCTTCATTTCTTTTTTTAATCATTTCACCTCAACCAAGGCAATAAAGCCATTAACACACAAAGGGTTACTGAGTGTTAAAGGATAAGAAAAAAAAACATTAAGGAGTGAAAATAATAATAGAAGAGGAATTAAGAAGACAGCAGATAACAATTAACATTTCATTTCAATTTTTGAAAGTCAAAGTTAGCGCTGAAAAGCAAGAAACTGGAAGAGTTCCACAAATGAGAAATGCAAGAAAAGAAGCTGTTAACTAAGAACTTACAGTTACATAAAGCAAATTCAACTGTGAATTATGAGACCTTGTTGCCAATCTAGTACTGAACTTAAATTCATAAAGTGTAGGTATCAAAGAGTAAAGTTCATCCAAACAACTACCATGAAAGTATTTATAGAAAAGGCACAGCGAAGTTACATCATGGCAGTGGGAAAGTGTCTGAAGCTGAGATGCCAGGTCAGGACCAATAATATTGAAAATTCTTCTTTGGATTTTGTCAATATAGCAGAAGCCCCAGACCAGATGTGGCAGCAATATTCAAAGCATGGACAAATGGTAAATGCCATGTTTGCTCATGATGTAAGCATTCATGACTCTCCACAGATTCATTTTCTTTATTATCCATGGACTGCTATGCATTCTTGGAAAAGACAGTAAAGTGGTTTCCCATGGCTTGGAATTCAGTATTTTCCTTCTCTTAGACCAACTACCACTCAAGGCAAAAGAACTCAATCAAGACTAATATTTAACCCATAGCTGAAGGAAAAAAGATGTATTCATGCCATCCCTAAGGGCATTTGTGTGAAAGTGAATGCAACAAATTAGCTTAGAATTTTAACTCAGCTCACCAATTCTGTTTACATTCCACTAATTGTACAGATATTGATAGACTTATTTCTTCTATTTTGGTAATAGATAAATATTGTATAAAGTTCATAGCCACAAAATTTCTGCAGACTGAAATTGTTTTTTTTTTCTCCATTAATAACTTAGTTATTCCCAGCTACAACATAAAGCAAGGCTCACGGCTATATCACTTTGAAACACCAGTTCTTGTACAATCACCAAAGTTAAGCAACAATGAGACTGGTCAGTATCTAGATGGGTGACTGCTTAGGAATTCCAGGTGCTGTAGAGCTTGGATGTGTAGGTAGTGTAATGGATATTGGGTTGGAATGAGAAATCAGAGAGCCAACTTTTAGTTGGTTTCATTGCATTCATTTACATGTAAATACCAATAGGAAAGGTATGAAAACATCTCTTCTCCCCAGCTAAAGATTATTTAGTAAGACTTATAACACTAAATCATTAACTATAAAAAAATGATAAAATAAAATAAAATAAATATATAAATAAAAAAAAAATAAGTCTTACAAACTGAAATTATTTTCTGGTTTTAAATAATCTGCAACTGGTTGATAAGCCATAGAAAATGAATGAATCGATCAATTTAAAAATGAAATACATATTTTCTTTTCCTTCCTTTTAACTGCAATGTTATTTTTCTAAAATTCTACTCAATTCATTTTTTTTTCAGGTTCTTCACCATTATTGACCTTTAATAGATGTATGTTGTAATCTGAATTTAAAATAATTGTGGAATAATTATAATTTTGTTTTAAATTTATTATTTTTTCTGGTATCTTTACCATTATTGTATTTAGCACAACATTGGGACATGACCTTTAACAGATGTATGTTGTAATCTGAATCTAAAATAATTGTAGAATACTACAAATACTTAATCACAGCAATTTACAAAATATTTACCTCATCATGTTGTTGCCAAATTGTCACTGTAATGAATGAAATAAGAAGCTATGGTGGTTCCATTCATCAGTAGTCATATATACCGCATTAATGCTGATTGCATATCTATGGTTTGGAGATTTACCATTTGAAACAGTAATATTTTTATGTGATGTCTTATTGCTAAAATATTTCTCAAACCACTCCAAGGTAATCATCATCATAAACTGTCTTAACTTAATATGCATTTCGCTGCTGGAGTAAGAAGACCCAGGATAAAACAAAACAAATTCTCACAAAATATCTCATCAAGTGCTACCAAAGAAATGTTTTACAAGAAGCTACTAAATTACCAAAATAAAAATTATTTTGCAAGATATTGCATCAGATGCTACCAAGTAGTTAAGGAATTTATAGTAAATGTTTTAATCATACAAATCTGAAAAGAAATTTAATTATTTACAGTTTGACTAATATCCTTATCTTTGTTATTATTATCACAATGTTTCAGACATTGAGCCCTCCGGCCTTCTTCAGGTGTTGTCAGGCCTTCAAGGAATTTCCAACTGAACACTTTATTTAATCTACAGGGATATATTGATCGCATTCCACTGTTCAAATCTAAATATATCTCAACTTGTTCTTATTTAATACTTCTCAGATATTGTTTTCCTGCTTCCACTGATTCTGAGTCTGTGCTACCAAGTCTAGAGTTTAGATGGTTTGGTTTGTTTTATGGCATATCAACACCTCAATGGGTTATTTAATGCTGACAAAATTTTTATTGCTGGAATTATTGTTTTTGAAAAAGTATTTCTGGTAATAATTTTCCAAAAATGTATTGTTGGTAATATTTTTTTTCCAAAGTAGTATTGCTGGTAATAATTTTTTCTTCAAATATGTATTGCTGGTATTAAAACCTATTTTACATGTTTTGACACCAGTTTGGGGGTTAACTATTTGCTCATAGCTGGGACACTAACAGGTGCTACTACCCTGCATCAAGATGCACCAGGGAACACCAGCAATTAGGAGACGGTTCCATGCTCCTCAAAGCCTCCTGATCATAGGCCTTGCTGTCGGATGTAGTTTATCGTCTTATCCAGGACACGGATGTAGGACAAACCAAGTCTAGGGATTGAACTTGCAATAAATATACCACAAAACTTGTGAACTAATACTTTAATTTTCTAGGCATTTACCATCTGAATGTAAATAATGATAACTTCTCATCACATAAATTCAAACAGAAATTATCTCATCAGTATGGACTAACGAGATACATCAAAGGAAGTGATGAGAAAAGATCCAAACTGGATGACAAATAAAACTAACATTTCTAAACAGATGTAAGAACCTAAAGTTAGTTTCACAAGGCTTATCAATCAAGACATCAATCAGCTCCAAACAAAGAGAGCAAAAAAAAAATAGTGGAAAGAGCAGAGCACGCCCTCAGAGAAGAAGGGAATCCCCACAACTTTTGTAAGAAACACCAGTTGCAAAGTGAACACTTCAAGCAAAATAAGCTAATTCCTTAGCAATATAATGCTCAACAAAGATGAATACAGAATCCAACAATATGCTAATAAATCATACAATAAGGAATTTGAAAGAGTCAAGGCTTATCATGCTTAGAATACTATAGATGGAAAGTGTAGTGGACTGTGGCTATAATGTTGTTGAGTAGAAGTAGAAGAAACATGTGGGGTTCAGATTTTCCTGCTAGCTGGTCCAACTACACAAGAAAGTTGGACTATTAATTAAGTCCAAAGAATGCAAAGAAAACAAACAAAACACAAGACCGATAATATATGTATACAAATATATATATTAATAACAGGTTACATAGAAACAGTTACAAAAGGACAAAGTGTGTGTGAATATTACATATGTGCATTTGTGTGTGTGTGTATTGTGCTTAGCGTGTTCCCAGCATTTTGGGAAACGCTATCTCTGGTGAGCGTTCACATTTTTGAGGTGGTAAGGCTGGAAGCCTGAGGAAAAAGAGAGATTTACCTCAAGGTGTTGGTGCACAGGCCTGAGGGAAAAAGAGAAAGAGGCAAAGGGTCAGCGGCTATTTATAGCCAGGGAAGAGAGACCCCTGGTGAAAGGGTTACGAACTGAAGGAGGAGTTAACTCCAACAAAAGCATAAGCAATAATGATGTCTTAAGGAAAATGGAAACAAAAAGGACACATACTAAGAATCAGAAAGAGACAGTTGGAATTTATTGAATATATAATGAGGAGAGAGGGCTTTGAGAATTTGACACTAACTAGACATATCAAAAGCAAAAGAAACAAGGGAGGTAGCAGGGCACATACCTAACAACCATGTTTGAATGGAGTGTGAAACCAGGGAGTGAAAGAGATTGCAAAAAGATAAATATTATTATGAGATATGAAGTTGTAGAGAGCTATGACTACCAATGTCCTGAAGGCACACAGCATATAGAAGAAGAAAAGATATGACTCACCAAATATGATAACTTGAGCAATTAGTCATAATGTAAAGAATCACTCCTCATACCAGAAATTTGGTAAGAATTGTAGATAGTAACCCTGCTCTCTTATTCGTTCATATTGATTTGAATTTCAAGCCTGTCACAAGATTTTTTTCACACTTCAGTTATGTTTTCAAGGTGTGAGAGTTAAAGGAAATAATCTTGACACCTGCCCATGATAATTCTTTGAAAATCTAAGCCACTGGTATCTAATTGAATAAAGCAATTAAGGTGTCAATACTTGTTGAGTTTTAATCCATGCTTTTATTGCAAAAATTACAGAAGTGATGAGGTGACATGTGAATTTTATTGCAGATTGATTTATTGATTTTTTTCTTCTTTTTACAGATTATCAACCGTTTGTGGGTTATTTAAAGCCAAAACATATTTTGGATTATAGGATGTTGTTTACAGTTCCCAATGTTCTCAAACAGTTCCCCACCTAAGTACCAGCCAGCTTGATGCCACTTTGGGAATCAAACAAGAACTGGTGTTTTCAGTATGATTTGACTGTAAGCTCTTGTTAGAGAAGCAGAGCATACTGATGAAAATAAAATTAATCTGAAGAGGTTCTTCTCTTAATGACAGGATGTCAGAAGACAAAAACATATGAGATGTTCACTGATAATGATGGGCAGTGGATCTTACCATATAATTGTTTTAAAATCAAATCAGGAAGCAACTACTTCTCAAGATAAGATGAGTTTGTTCTGAGTCATTCCTATATTGGTTTTTGGACTAAAGTTAATCTATTTTTCCATGCCTAAAAATCTATACAGCCAAACAGCATTAAAAGTAATTATCTCCGATTTCAGCTTCTGACTACAGAATTATCTCAAATCTATTTCCAATCTAATCTCTTAACTTCCAGTACTCAGTATGGGACTCTAGTTTGGGTTAGTCTTAGTTCATTTTGTTAGTTAAATTCTAGTTAAATAAGAGTTCTCATTCTAGCAGGTCTATTACAATTAACACATTTAGTACTAAACATTAACATTTTTACTACTTTATTAAGCACCAAAAGCCTTAATTATGTAACAGTATCTTTTTGAAATTCATGTTTTCTTTTTATCCTCTGCACTAGGCTGTATCATGCACCTACTTTCTAGCAATGCTATTTACTATATAAGCACCAGTAATAAAATGCTAGCACGAAAAATGCTGATTCAATTTCATTTATTTCTTTTAATTACTTCTTAAATTAATTCTTACTTATCACAATTCTACTAGCTTATAGAAATCTTTTAGGACTTCTATGTCACATCTGTCTCATCAGCTAACACTTGTACTTGTTTCTCTCCTTAGGATATGATTCATGAATTGAAAGGAGTAACAGAACTCATAATGAAACTTCAATTACACAAGGCTAAGCAACTTACATTGTTTACTTAGTTTGGCACAAGGCCACAAGAGTAGAGCAATGAGTGCAAGGCTTTTGAGATTAGGTTGCTAACCATTGCTCCATGGCAAAACACCTCAGTCAAATAGTATATAAAAAACAATCACAAAGGAAGGAATATTTCCAATCGATCATTCATTCACTTTTGCATGCAATGTCTTTTCAAGAAGTGAGAATTCAGAGCCCTCCACAACTTCCTGTCTTTTATTGTTTTAAGTAACTTTACTATCCTTCTTTGCCAAACATTCACCATTTCCTTTCACTTCAATTTTTTTTCAGTATGTCCTGTGAGTGTTAAATTCACTAGCCCCCCGACACCTTTATCATTATGCATTCTAAGAATATAGTTTCACAAATGTTCATTTATATTTAATTTGGATTCATGTACAACAAAAATTTATAAATGTGATGTTCAATGCCAGATTAAATTTACTATAAATTTGTTTTATGCAATCACATCAAGTAATGACCCCTAAAATTGTAAA